GATATTTATAGCATAAATATCATGATATTTATCAAGATATATATCAGGATATTTATCGCTGATATATATCCTGCCAACCCTGATTTGAAGGTCAAGAAAGTGTCAAGAAAATGAAATTAAAAATTTTAAATATCTAAAAGTCATATCAGTTAAAAAAAAATCAATTCATTTTGTTAATTATTCATAAAATAGATTTCTTAAAAAAAAGTAAAAGTTAGGTTATAATGAAACTCTATATGTACAGGGTGTCCGAATTTGGATGGTTTTAATAGGAAACATCAATTTCTGAGCAAGATACAAAAAAATGAACCCCCCACTCCGAGGCTCAAATTTCTTGAAATTTTGATTAGTGCAAACCGCATTTTGATATCTTCAACCGTTTAGCCGCTAGAGGGCCATTCTCGTTTTTGAGCAATAACGTGAAACCATCATAACTTTTTTGTTTATGAAAATTATTGATTTCCGTAAAAACTTTCTAGAAGCACTTTTTAAAGCAGAATTCAGTGACGTTCTCAGTTTTTTTCTAGTTGGTCCCAACTCCGAGATATTGACCAAAGTCTGGTTTTTTTCAATAGGACACTCTATATATTAATAGCTCATTAGAAAGCTCGGCTTTTTCTGATTTCAATGATAAAAGTTCGATAGGTTTATCTCTAATAGTTTTCGAGAAAAAAAATTATTTCGGTTTTTGTCATAAGAAGCAATGTGTAAGAAAAGGACTTTATATCTGTAAGGAAACTGAGAAAGGTCTCTTTCTAACTCATTGTTTCTTTTGACAAAAGCCAAAATATTTTTTTTCTCGAAAACTGTTAGAGATAAACCTATCGAAATTTGTATCATTGAAATCAGCAAAAGCAGAGCTTTCTAATGATATATAGGGTACCCATTGAAAAAAATCTGCGAATATTTTTCAACCCCTAAGTTGAAACCCCACGCGGCGGTGACATCCGCCCTTAAAGTCTCAAATGGAATGGGGGGATGAAAGGCACCTCATTGGTAAGCTTATTACTGCTTCTTTTCAACGCTGTCTCATTTCAGGAATATCTTTGAAATTTTCGTGGAAAAGTATGAAAAAATAAAACTTCTCTAAAAAAATTCTATTAAAAACCTCCAATAAACAAAATAACATCGAAGATAACAGAAAAAATGTAAACAAGTTTTTACTAATATGGGGATTTTTTTATCTGCTTACTGCATGGGCAGTAGATGTCTTTTAATAAATCTCTTTAAGTAAATTTATTTTGATCGTATTCAGTGTAGCGACTTTTGTTTACAGTAACATTAAATATCAGCAATGGTTTATTCTACTGCCGAGAAGGTTGAAATGATTGAATTGTTTTTTGGACATACCTCATGTGCCAATAGAACAGCAGAGTTATTTAATGTTCATCATCCAGATAAACATGAAAACTTCACCTGGCGCAAGAATTAAACGAAGATGATCACGATAGACGAATACAATTCTGCGAAGAACTGAGCGAAATGCTTATAGCTAATCCTCTTCTTCTTTACATTTGCTTTTCGGATGAGTGTAGGTACATTTTTCCTCAACGGAACCGTAAATCGTCACAACTGTCGCTACTGGGCTGATGAAAATCCTAAACACTTGCGTGAGGTTCATACTCAGTACCCTGAAAAATTAAATGTGTCGGCTGGAATCTTTGGCGACTCCCTTGTTGGTCCGTTTTTTCTAAATGGAAATTTAGATGGAGAAATTTATCAGACTCTTTTGGAAGACGCCATAAATCCTAGAATAACAGAGATGGAGCCCCTCCGCATTATGTTGCACTGGTACGGCATTATCTTGATGAGATATTTCCCGGTCGCTGGATTGGAAGGAGAGGACCCTTTCTTGAATGGCCAGCTAGATCATCCGATTTAACACCCCTTGACTTTTTTTATGGGGGCATCTGAAAACAAAAATTTATGCCACTCAACTGGAGACACTAGAAGTATTACGTCAACGAATTGTAGATGAGTGCGCGCTGATAACCCCTGAAATATTACAAAATGTTCGAGATCGCTTTGAACAGAACCTGTATTCTTGCATGGCTGCAGACGGTGCTCAGTTTGAACATTTAGTGAATTAGTTGTTCTAGATTCTAGAGTATTAATTTAGTAACAATAGAGCTCCACATTAGTAAAAACTTGTTTACATTTTTTCTGTTATCTTCGATGTTATTTTGTTTATTAGAGGTCTTTAATAGAATTTTTTTAGAGAAGTTTTATTTTTTCATAATTTTCCACGAAAATTTTAAAGATATTCCCGAAATGAGACAGTGTTGAAAAGAAGCAGTAATAAGCTTACAAATGAGATGCCTTTCATCCCCTCATTCCATTTGTGACTTTAAGGGTGGATGTCACCGCCGCGTGGGGTTTCAACTTAGGGGTTGAAAAATATTCGCAGATAAATTTCCAGTCGAACACAAATTTCACGTTTTAGCCGTTTTTTTGCTTTTAAAACGAGAAATGCCTTTAAATTGCCTTGTTTCGTTTTGGGTGGGACGCGTCATTGTCAAATTTTTTGACATGAATGTCAATAAATGTGGTACCGTTGAAAAGAGAGTTTGAAGAGCTTTCATTTAAGGGGTCAGTCGACCCACTTCCTATATTTAATTTTTGAGGGTTGAACGCGCCCCCGCTAAGGGATGACAGGTAGGTCATTAAAGATGAATTTGAAAGTTGTCCCGTTTCATGCAAAAATCGACGTGTCCGAGTGTTTTTCATTTAAATAATTCTATATATATGCAAAAACTCCTCTGTTTCGTTTTAGCTGGGACACCCTATAAGCCTCAATTTCAACGAAAACGTTGGAGTACGGTAGCTATCCATTTTCTGTCACTTGACGAAGGAAGTTGCAGATTCTAACCTTGAATCAAGGTAGATAGAGGCTAGAAGTAGTTCACAGTTTTCGTCAAGTGTGGAGCAACAGGTGTGGACACTTGAGGGACTTGATTCCTCTAGGAAATCCCTTCAAAAGCTCTATGCCCATTATCTACGGAAATGTGGATCGTTATAAATGTGCGGGCTCATTGGAAACGGGCTCTTCGAAAGCAACGAGCTCCTCGAAAGAAACTGGCGCCTCGAAAGACCCTATGTAATAGAGGCATCCCATGAACAACAATTACTTAAAATAAAATAAAAATAACTTACCGACATTCAAACTCAAATAAAACGGTAATCACAAGACTTTCGGTATTAAATTTTTCGGTAATTAACGAAACATTACCTTACGCAACTTTATTTCGTCAAACTAGTGCCTGATGGCCGATAGGGTACTTTTTTTACAAGAATGGTAATCGATATTTCACTTAGGGAGATGGCTGCCCCAGGCCAGGATCAACGTTTCAGGTCGAAAGTCAAAATTTTAAAGGGGCGAAGAATAGGACAAGCTAACCAAGCAGAGCTTTCCTTCGAAAAATGGCCAACGGAAAATGTTGGTACCAAATTGGTACTTCAACAGCGTTCAAGGCGACAATTTAATTTATAAAATGATGTATAGAAAAAAGTTGTTATATGTTACAATTTTCGATTCCGACTTACACTTTTTCCGAAAACAACTTAACAGTAATAATAGGTCCTTTTTTTGTTTCCCTCGTATGATACTCGGAGAATCAACTTTCACCAAATTTAGCACCGAGCACCAAGCAAGTCGCAAGCTATCTACTTAACTGGCGTTGAAGGACTTTCGTTCTGAATTCCACTCTCCAGGCTGACAAAAGATCCTTTTCTCCCTTGGCCTCTGTCATTTTTTTTTTTTTTTTCTCAGCAGTGAGAGTAGCAAATATTTCACTCATGAAAGACACCAATTCTTCTCGGTTTATCATTTGTAGTGCAACAGCGATCGTTCCTTTTTTAGTTGAGCTTTCGCTGATTGATTGAGAAGCACTAATTATTTTAGTGCAGGTTGAAAATATCAGAAAAATAATGCTGTCAGGCTACGTATCTTTCAGTCCTCAGTTATTTACGAATTCGTGTCCGTTGTCGTTCTGTAGAATTTTTCGGAAAAATACTTAGTAAGTTGGAAGCAAGCGCTTGGTTTGCATATGGGTCGTATAAGAATAACACTTTTGTGCCATGTTCTGGATAATTAATTATCCATTTCTCGGGGAGCGCTCATTGCAACGAGGCCACCTCATCCCATTTCAATAAAATGATAATCATAAAGTAATTTATCAAATTAATCTTCTCACGGCACTACGAAAGCGCAGATGAAACGCGCTTTAATGTTTTATCATAATCATAACTTTTTGCCTCTAGCAACATTAAGGATAAATGCTAATTCACTTACAGTCGCAAAACATTCAAAAAGGCATTGGATCGCTAACAACGGGCATATAATTTCAAAACAGAAACCAGAAACCCGGGAAATCCTGAGCGTCACTTAACCGTAACTGAATAACTATTAGGTTGGAAGGTTCACTTACATCTCTTGTATACCTCATCAATTTTCTGCTTTGTGTAAAACTTTCGCAGTGCTTTCTGGGAATAAAACTCTTCCAATTCTTTATAGAATCGAGTTTGTAGGACCACAATAAAATTGTCTGTCGTTGCCATTTCAGATTATATTTCACATATTTTATTACATCAAGTGCAAAATGGATTCGGAGCCTTACACGAAATGTCGAATAGAGTCAGCCACTTAGCGTAATTTGGTACGTTTTCGTCAAGAGGCGGTAACACGCTTACGTTTCATATAACTTCTAAAATGTGTAGCCTTTCAGCGTAACATTATTTGTTCTAGTGCCCAGACTTATTCATGAAACAGCGAATTTAACTAGAAGGCCTCACATAATATACTTGACATAGACACTTTAGTTTCATGTTATTCTGTAGAGGACTTTAAGCTCTTCAATTTCCGTAATGGCACTCATCAGCAAATATCAATTTATTGCTCCACTAACTTGAAGTGTCATCAACTGCAGTACAAGTTAGGTCATACGCACTTCCTATATTTATATTGCATTTCCTATTTCATTAAAATAATCTCTTTCTTTCAGTTATTAATAGGTTATGAAAGCGGCCAAATAGTGTTATGGGATTTAAGAAATAGATGTTCGGATATGCGGTGCTTGACCAGTGAGCTAAGATCAATATCATGGCACTTCGAAGGTAAACAGTTTATGTGCTCGCACACAGACGGTACCTTGACGACGTGGAATATTAGGAATAGTCAAAAATATGTACATATTTCGCAACCTCATGGTTAGAACTTTTGTGCATGTACCTCCGAAAAATAATTCAACTTATGTCTATTTTAGCCAAATTTAATAAAGATGGAAAAGCCGAACAATGTAAACCTATTAATAAGGTGGAATGGAAAACTAGTAAAACGGGGGAAGCTTTTGTGATATTTTCCGGTGGAATGCCTTATGACCAAGCTTGTAGAACGCCCAGTATTACTGTTGTACATAATAAAACAACAACCGTTTTAGAAATGGAACATAACGTTATAGATTTTGTTACTTTATGCGAATCACCTTATATAAGCGGTAAGCCAATAATTTTTATCCAAGAACATATAATGTAGCGAGAACGAAGATGAGACAAACTGTCTTACTGTAACAGCATTTCAATTATATGAATATCATCATTGTTAACTTATCCTAATTAGAAATAGGTACCTACACATTCAATATTCAATATTGCTTGAGATATGAGGGCAATGGTATTATCTTAATTTACATAAAGCTATCACAGTCGTTCATTATCCAAACAGAAACATGATTCGAAACATTCATATACATTATAATAATATTAATTTGAATGCCATACTCGTCAGGCAAAATTCAAAGGCAGTATGTTATAGTTTATCATCAGAAAGTTGCGACAATGAAGACATTTTGAAATCGTCCTTCATTTATGCCCCATTTCTTCTGTATTTGTATTGTAATAATTTATGATCCGATTCTAGATATGCAAGAGCCCTACGCAATAATAGCTCTACTGCAAAACGACTTGGTCGTTATGGACCTTCAAACGCCAGGATTTCCCTGCATAGAAAACCCTTATCCGATGGACTTACATGAATCGCCAGTGACTTGCGTCAGTTATCTAGCAGATTGCCCTGGTGATCTTATTCCTGCGTTTTATTCGGTGGGCAGAGCGGCAGCCACCAAACGACAAGGAGTTAGCGAAATGGACTGGCCCATCACTGGTGGTACTTGGTCCGCACAGGGTTGTAGTTATCCTGAAGTTATTTTAACTGGGTAAGAACTATGGTGATTGAAACTTTTTATATTTCTTTGTCTAGGTGGCGGAGTGGGACAATAACTGATGACATTTTGAATCTTCAATGAAAGATGAAAATATACATAGTTGGCATATCAGTGGCGGATCCAGGGGGGAGCACTGGGGGCAAGTGCCCCCCCCCCCGGGAATTTTTCGTTATGAAAAAATCTCTAGAAAAAAGTGTCCTCCGCACGCATAAAAAATATTCTTTTGAATAGTAACATTTTCTCTTGGGGCTTCCAAGATTATTTCAACTGATTGGCTCTGGGTTGTGATTTGATGGCGGCTATTGATTTTGGTGATTGATGCAGTATAGAATTGTAAATTATAGCTTTGTTCCAACCCAGCAGGAAATCATAATATTACGGTCAGGATTCTGCGCAAAACCTAAAATTTTTGCGCAGAAACCGAAATTCGTATACAGAGTGCTTCCGAAACCGTTCTGGGACGGTTTTTTATATTTTGATATCTATGTCTACCTATGTATTGAGTTTCATTTTTTAGAATAAGTCTATGATACTAGATTCCTTCGCAATAAGCAGGTATTTTAAACCTAGACACAAGGCAATTTTTTCTATTTTCCCACCCCCTTAACGTTTTTGTGCTACTGTGTATAGAAAAAATGTAAATAGGAAAGGTGTATAGTTTGAAAAATAATTCTCAGAAAACATAGTTTTGTGTATACAGGGTATCGCAGAAAGTTTAAAAAACAAAAAAATATATATTTTTTTAAATGGGATATCCTGTTTATTGTTGAATATTCTGATTCTACCTACATAAAATTCTGAGCAGATTTCATGTGATATACGCTATACCTAAGTTCAACTGTTTTGGAAATATTGACAGTTGAAATTTGACTTTTTTGCAACTTTGACAGGCTGCAAAACCTGAACGGTTAATTTTACAGCAAAACTGATTTTACATTTTCATTTTTAATGTTTCATAAGCTATCCTTTAACACCAACGTTAACTTCAACCAGAGATTAAATTTAGTTGAAATTTTCAATCATGGATTAAATTCAAAGTCGGTGTCAAATGAGTTTATGAAAATCTAAGAAATGAATGTAAAATCGGTACTTAGTATACAGGGTGTCCCATAAAAAAATATACTTTTTTGTTTTTAAAACTTTCTGCAACACCATGTATAAACAGAACTATGTTTTCTGGAAACTATTTTTCAACCTATACACTTTTCCTATTTACATTATTTTTATACACAAAAAAGTTGAGGGGTGGGAAAATATGAGAAAATGATCCTGTACAACCAAATATTGATATTAAATATCGTTGAAGGGTCCAAAAAAAGGGCGTGGCACCCTAAAATTTTTCGTCCTCGGCGATTAGCCTCCGGCGGCTACTAATAAATGACCACGTTCTCAGATTAAGTGCCCCCCCCCCCCCCCCCCCCGAAAAGCACCTCTGGATCCGCTACTGTGGCATATTGATACACCAATTTAATTTTTGAAAAACTTATATCACTCATCAAAGTAACATAAATTTAGCAATAATTGTTAACCGGAGTTTTCTAACTTATTATAACAAAAATGTTATTTATACGAGCTAAAATTATAAAGCCAGCATAGTTCTCACGCAAGTTGTCGGTAATGCTGAATACGCTGACCGAGTTTAGTGGCACAATAGGATGTTGTGTGAAAATGTTGGTCAGATGAGATTTGGATATATCGGATATATCAATTCCTCCTTTTAGTCAAACGTTGCTGCCGTGCAGCAACTCTCATTACGAAGATCATTTTTACGTATGCTAAATGAGATTCCATATTCAGAATCAAAACTAAATTTCACATTCTTTTGTAGAAATTTGACCGGGCAAATGAGATCGTACCTAAATTTGAATACATCAATATGCCACACAAAGCTCTTTGAAATAATGGCATTTGAACTTATTGTTGAAGAAGAAACTCTTAATTTTTTTCTACCTTTCACAAAATAAACTGTTCACAAGTACCTCCGATGTTTATCGAAATAGCTCTTTTCATTTAATATCTACGTGCAGTTACCTTTATTGTTTTATTTCACCCGAACCAAAATTTCCCAGAGGAGACTCTCGTGATATTTTAGTATTATTTTTAAAGTAAAAACCGTTTGAAACCGGTAAAATTGAAAATTTTTTCAGTAACGCAGCAATATCTATTTTGCTAGGGTATATTCTCTTTGTTTCAATTTTGGTTTGTGAGTCGGGAACAAAATATCGCGAAGGGATTTCAATATCAAGTTTGCATAATGAGGGGAGAGACACGGTTTGTGTATTTTAATAGAGTATCTCGAGGCACGGCAAGCGATTCAAGGAAATTAAAATGTATTTATTTCGGTAAGGAAATACAAGCTGATTTGAAGCAAAAAGTTATTTGTGAAATTAAATGTCTAAAATAAGAGGATCATAATTATGATCAATTTATTTCTCAGACACGCAGATGGCAGTATACGATTCTGGGACGCTAGCGCAGGCACGTTGCAAGTGCTCTACAAGCTAAAAACCGCAAAAGTTTTCGAAAAACCCAAATCCAGATCGACGGAATCCGAAGACGACCCGTTCGCGATACACTTGATATCGCTATGCCCCGAATCCAGGAAACTGTGCGTCGCCGGCGCTTCCAGTCATGTGATAGTGTTTACGTACAAAAAAATCGAAAGCATTGATGAGGTAATAAGCGATTTTTAATAAAGACAAATCTGTATTGTTTTATTGGATTTAATTCAAGGTTACGGTATTAGAAATTCCCATAGTTTACGAAGTCGTTGAAGACGAAATATCTCCCGACTGTCAGTTTTCCGGCCCTGGGAGCGGTGGATCTGGTAATAAGCTGGAAATGTTGGATTTCGACAATAAAAGAGTAAGTTGATAATTATGACCCATTAACTTTTAATAACAGATATTCATAGATTATTTTATTTATAAAATAAGCAAAGTTCTGCTTTCAATCATGTAGCATCCGCGCCAAGTAAGTACTCTATTATTAAGGTTAGATGTTAAATTGCGAGCAGTCGTATTCGATGGTAATTATTTCCTTGGGCAACTACTGTAAAATAGAATTGTGGGGGCGGGTGTATTTGCAAGTGAGAGAAACAACTGATGTATGGTTATCCGTTAATAAATATGGTTTATTAATGAGAAAATAAACAGAGCTTTTCTTATTGCTATGGTACAATTTTTTATACCCCAATCCAACACCTTTCTAAAATAAAAATAAACAATTCTAAATGATGCGAATTTACAGCCATCTGTATACTGTCTCTGAGCTTGTAATTAAAATATTACAATTAAAAGCCTTGTACTTAAATAACTCTTTGATAGAGACCTACTACATTAGGTTAAAATATTTTTAACCAAAACTCCTACACGTCAAAACATTACAATTTTTAAAACGTCCAATTCTATAAGCGTATAGAAACCCCTTATTTCGCTTACTGCCAAATTTGTAAAAAGCTTTACTTAAAATAGAAAACTCAGCTAGAGTGAATACCATTACATTTACGATCTACACTTAGACATAACAATACTAAGAATCTCAATTCAATATTACGCATTTAATTAAAATTCTTATGGCCGTTTGCACCAACCATTCCAAGGAAGCCTTAGCGATAAGTATTCCTTAAAGTGACATTTCTCCATGTAAAAATGTCATTTTAAGGACTACTTATCGCTAAAGCTTCCTTAAAATGGTTGGTGCAAACGGCCATTTGAGTTCAAAATATTTAACTATAATCATTAATTCAATTTTCATTAAGTCTCTTCATTAGACAGAGCTCACTGATTCAATAGCCATTAAAATTTACTATTTATACTAAAAAAACCAAAAAAAAAAGTATTCAAAAGTTCACTCATTGATAAAGTCAAATAAACATGTCAGTAGAGTCCTTACATTAAAGTTTCGCCCTTAAAGTAACTTAATTATTCTAATTATTTTTCTTTTGAATTATTTAGAGCTTGCACATAATGTTGAATGAATTTAAATATCCTTTTTTTCACAATTTTCCGTTACTTTTTCAAGATTCGATTTAACGCGTTTTCCCGAGGCAACAAAACAGAAACTCTTCGCGAATTTCATCCGGACTGACTGATTAATCTTACTGTAGACTCAAGACTCAAGACTCTAAGCTGAACAGAACTGAACTAAAGACTGAACTGAACTGATGACGGAACTCGACTGATAACTGACTGTAAACTTCTAAAACCGCTGTTTTTATATTTTTCGTTCCCCCAAAAAATTTGGGGGTCATGGCCATTCATTGGCCGTTCTTCTTTTCTAAGAAATATAATTTATTTGTTTAAAACCGAATACCTATGTCGCAATTTCCCGGAGTTATCGGGGTCAGACAGACACAGAAACAGAAAGAAACAGATTTCGTATAGGAATGTGAGGACATATAAATCAAAGAATGCCGAATTCGTCTCGGCCCGTAAATACTGTTTTTTATTATAATTCTGTCACTTTGGGACCTAATTTAATTACCTAACCTTGTATTTAATCTTTGCCGGGTTTTGATTTATGAGTTCAATTTGATGATACGCGCTTGATGACTAACTAATAAAATTTGAACGTATTTTAAATATTTTCAATAATTTGGGTCATGATAACATTTAAATTGACTGTTTTTGTATTTCAAGTCCTTATTAATTACGGGTCTATTTTTCCCGGGTCATTGCACATAGTTCTAGGGAGAGGCGAAGGTACACAATAGTGTAAACAATAATATAGGCACTCTGAGAACAACCTCTGCAATTTTTTTCTTCAGGAGATCAATTGTTCCACATTGGATGCAGGAAATTTTGAGTTGAATCCTAATTCTTCAGGCAACTCTTACAGTTAGGAAAAGTATCCACAGACCATGATAAACTGATGCTTCGTGTGGAATATTCTGCAAACCTGATGCCTTCTTCCGACGAATATTATCAAGATAACAGAGAAATAGCAGGTTGCGACTAGAACTCCAATGTCTAGGGTTTTCGAATCTTAGCTTTTATATTCTCTCTTCTTTGTCAACTTCTATACATCCATTCCTGGATGTAGGTTTCTCCTTACTGTTTCCATTATTCTCTGTCCTTCGTCAATCTCATTCACTGATTGCCTGCCTTTGTCCTTATGTCGTCCACCCAGGACTTTCCATGCTTCTTGTTGTCTCCCTTGATCTCCATTCTAGAATTTTTCGTGTCCATCTGTCGTCATCGTATCTGTCCAGCCCATCGGCATTTTATCTTTCCTACCACCTCCACAATGTCCATGACTTCCGTTTTGCGTCTTTCCTCGGAGTTTCTAATTTTTCCTCTTATAGTGATATCACATAAAGATGCTTGGAATATTCCAAGCATGTTTCTTTCCATCGTTCTTTGGGAGGTTTCTAATTTTTAGCGGACTAATTTGTAGGTAGGTACAGGGTTATTGGTTATAAATGTCACCTCCTCTATCTTTTTAATTTGAAATTTTAGAAAAAAGTGTCCCAAATAAAAGTTTTATGATTGAAATTAAATTTTTTGAAACACTCACTTTCGCATATACAGGGTGTTTCAGAAAAGCTGGTCGTACTCCAAATTTCTTATTTCAAATATGTATATTATTGGATATTCAGATTCTACGTAAAATTCTGAGCAGATTTCATGTAATATACCCTTTACCTAAGTTCAATTGTTTTGAAAATATTGACAGTTGAAAATTGACTTTTTTGCAGTTTTGACAGGCTGTAAATCCTAAAAGGTTGATTTTAGAGCAAAAGTGATCTTACATTTTCATCTTAGATATTTATAAACTATCAGTTGACACCAATATTTGACATCAACTTTGAATTTAATCCCTGATTGAAAATTCCAATTAAATTTAATCTTCGGTTAAATTCAATGATGTGTCAATGATAATTAGAAAAAAATTTAAGATCGGTTTTGCTCAAAAGTTAACCGTTTAGGTTTTACAGCCTGTCAAATTTGAAAAAAAGTCAATTTTCAACTGTCAATATTTCCAAAATAGTTGAACTTAGGTATAGGGTATATCACATGACATCAGCTCAGAATTAGGAGTCAGATAAGAGCCAGCGCGCCATCTTTTGGGCTTTATGACATACATTAAATATTTTTTAATCACAGGTGTTCAAATTCTCTGTAAGTGATTGACTTATTTACAAGTAGATGGCGACATCTTCAATATCAATTCGTTTACACAGTAAAGTGCGTTTTTTTTTTTTAAAGATAAAAGTCAAACTGACATTAGGTTGGCAATACAATGTAAAATTGTCAATGCTATCAAATTTTTCATGTAGAAAAGGCTTGTGTTGCCAACATAGTTACTAAATTTTTGACTTGGGGAATTATCTTTTAAAAAAAAAAACAGATTTTAATTTACAGTGGACTAAATAATTTTATTTAGATGCAAATGAAATAATAGTATTTCACATTTTTAGCTAGATAAAACAGTTTTTACTGGCGCTTGAAAGAAGTGACTACGCTTCCCGAACTCGGCGACATCTTTAAGAGAAACGCTGAACACACGTTTGGTTTGAGTCTTTGCTGAAAATGACAGCAATCGCCTGCTTGTTTGGCAGATTTTGATTAATTTTGGAATAAAAACATGATACATTTTCGGCAATACTGTGTAGCAGTAGTGTTAGGTGCAATAGAGTCTTGAGAAGAGAGAACACGTAATGTCACCATCGACTAGTTTGGCACCGACTCTACGGTTCATTGCATTAGTATAGGATTCTGCAGACGACCGAAAAGCAGCATTTTCTGATAAAATATGCGCACCATTGCCAGAACTACCAGGAGATAAACTGGCTAGTCCCTTCTTCAGTGGAACTGATAATGATTCCTTTCTCAGTTTATTGTGCGGCAAACTAAGTACGTTACGCGGAAAACAAAAAAATTTATGCCAAGACTCGTCATTATTGGTTTTGACACAATTCTCCAGAATAACTGCCAATGCTTCGGCTACTTGAGGACGAACACTACCCGGAATACGTCTCATAATTAGTATATTACCATGTGATATAAAATATGGCCTGGTTTAGAAAGCTTCAATATTAGTATAAGTTGGATGTGATTGAGTGGGACCAGATGTTAAAAGCGCTGCCGTTTGTCTGATACATTTCTTACTATTTCGATGTTTTACTATATTACTTGATCTTATGAATATTTGACCACAACTGGAACAGGAATGATTGGGCGTGTGATTTTCTGGGTGCGAAGAAAGTATGGTCGTATTATTTTTGTGAAATGACCTGTTGAAGGAATTATAAGAGAGGTCACATTTAGTGGCATGTTGATTGAAATCTTCTGATGTGTCAATCATGGTTTGGTGAACATTACAAGATACCTTCGATAAAACATTATGGCTTTTAGAGACGTATAACTATGGCTTTTAGAGACGTATAACTTATAGAAGTAAATTTTTTCTTACAAATTGTACATTCATTACTCAAATTTGGAATGATTTCAGAATTCTCACTTTCAAAGTTTCTGTCAATGGTATTAGGGTTTTGTGGTATTAGGAAAATCGTCATAAATTTCCAATTCATTACCTCTTGAAGGTCCAGCATCACAGACGTCTTGTGAGGATATTGTAAAATACTTGATAGCATCTGGGGTATTTAATCTTGGGTACTTTCTAAGTACATAAGGGTCGAATTTAGAGTCGCTACTTGAGGTTTCCTCAGACCTTAAGGAGGCCTTGAACGTTTAGAATTGAGATGACTAACTTGTCAAATAGTAGCAAGTGTCCATTCTAAACTCACGACCTTCAAGGAAGACCCAAGGAACGACTATAAATTCGGCCCTAATGCTAGTTTTACACTGACAATTTAAATTGATCAATTTGTTTCTCAATTTATTTGCCAATAGTACGGGATA